AATTAGTTAAAAAAGCAATAAAGTAAAAAAGTAATTAGTTAAAAAATATATATAATTAGTTAAAAAATATAATTAATCAGAGAAGAGACTAATTAAAGAGTAAAATTTGGTTGAAAATTATAATTAGTTAAAAAATATAATTAATCAGAAAACGGATTGATTAAAGAATAAAATTAGTTGAAAATTATAATTAGTTAAAAAATATAATTAATCAGAGAAGAGACTAATTAAAGAGTAAAATTTGGTTGAAAATTATAATTAGTTAAAAAATATAATTAATCAGAAAAGGGATTGATTAAAGAATAAAATTAGTTGAAAATTATAATTAGTTAAAAAATATAATTAATCAGAGAAGAGACTAATTAAGAGTAAATTTGGTGAAAATTATAATTAAGTTTAAAAATATAATTAAGAAAAAATATAATTTGTTGTGCTTTTTTTTTCCAATTCCATCCATTTCAATGTATTTTTATTTTCAGTAATGAAAATTTAATATTTAATTAAAAGGAAATGAAATAAATTTACCTTTCATTAACCAATGAATGTATTTCAGAAGTTGTATGATCATCCAAATTATTTTTCGCAACACTCTAATATATCATAAATTAATTCATGCATTTAAAATAAACAAAAAAAATAACAACAAATAATTATTTACTGAACAATTAAATATGATATTGATCGATTTTATTCTGTAATCTTTAATTTTTCCATAAATTTATAAAGATTATTTAAATTTTTACGTTAATTACGTCAACGTATATTTTTATTTCTTCACGCATACTTTACGTAATCACTATATTTTAAGTAAAAAAAAAGAAAAAAAGAAAATTGAACCTTACGTAATGTTCTTTTTCCATATCATTAGGATTATAATTGATACACGTTGGATATAGGTATAAAGCTAATGATGGACAAAGCATTGCAATACCAATACCTAAAAAGCCTGCCCACCAACGACCAATCCAGGATGGATCACGTGATGTTAATCCAGCTGGCACTGAAATATTTGAATTTAAGTTATTATTTAAATTTTAGGTTAATTTAAAAATTGCATTAAAAAACTAGCAAAATAATTAGTAAGAAAATAAAGTAATTGAAAGTCGAAAAAACAAATAAATAAATGAGTAAACTAAATTGGCTAGTAAAAAGAGCAAAAGTAATTGCAATAAAATTAAATTGATTTAAATTAAATTCCACAATTTTTTATCAAAAATGATATTTGAAAAAGAAAAAAAATGATATTCCTTCCATTTAAAGTTAGCAATAAGCGATATCTTTTAAAATTAAATAATTAAAAAAGTGGCATATATTGTTTTTTTAGATTAATTTTTGAATAGTTAAATTTTTAAGTAATATTTAATTAAAGTAGTTGATTTAGAAAAAATTTTCATTTACAATAAGACAATTTACAGATTAAATTCTAATCTCTACGATATTTATTTATTGTTATAGAATAGTTAGCTTGATACATTTATTAATTCGTAATTATCAATTATGAAAGTGAACATTCTGAAATTATGGAAGTGAATTATTGAATTGAATACTGAATATTGAATATTGAATTGAATTATTGAATATTGAATTGAATATGAATAATGAATTGAATATTAAATATGAAAAATTGAATATTGAACTAATGGAGTGAATTATTGAATGAAATTATGGAAGTAATTATGAATATAAACATAAACAGCATATCAATGATATGCTAATACTTACCATCAAAACTATAATAGTAATTGTTAACAATGCTACCAATTAAAAAGCCAAGAAATGGGCCAAGAATACGAATAAAAAACATACCAGCTAAAATATTACGAAATTAATTTGCATAAAAAGAAAAATATGCGCAAAATTCTCATTATAAGGGGCATTTGTCAATTTTACCATTCAAATTAACATTTCATCTTTTAATTTATGATTTTTAAAAAAATGAAAGAAAAAAATTTTTTCTTTATTGATTTATTTGTTATTATTTTTAATTACTTTAATTAACAAATTATAAAATAATTTTTTTTCTTTTGCTTTTAGTAGAAATAGCAAAAAAAAAAAAAAGAAAAGAAAAATACAAATAAAAAACCGAAATAAAGTGGTAAATTTTGTCGTTTCACATTATCATCAATTAATGGAAGGCCAAGTGAATAAGGCATTGTTCGGCCAATACCAAGAATGAGTAAACCAGCAAATATCATAATAAATGGTCCAAGATTTGATAATTCATTTGAACAACGAATCTTATTCATCTGTAAAATTAATTAACAAAAAAAAAAAAAAGAAGGAATAATTATAACAAAAAATTAAAAAAAAAAATAATGCCAAGGAAGATTATTCAGAAATTACTGGAATACTCGAATAGTAATTCCTAGAAAATTGTTTGTAATATTCGAGAACTAATAATTTCCAGAAAATATTAATTCCTAGAAATTATTCAAATGTTCGATAGTTTAATTCCTTGGAGCTATTAGAATATTTAAGAAATAAATCCTAGAAAATTTTCAAATACTGGGGAATCAATTTTAGAAACTGATGAAATAGTTGAGAAATAAATTTAGA